GCCGAATAGCGTGTACAGTAAATTCCCCGATAAAATACTGCGAATACCGTGCAACGCGCAGCAACGTTATGCGAATCTCACGGAAAAATGCATCGATCACCTTAGACGCCGTAGTAATTCGAAAGAGCCTCTGCCGATATCCCGGAGTGCGCGATAAATTAGACGAGTCATAAAATGTTAAAGCGACTAACATTTTCCGAGGACACTGTTATGGTAAATGTCGTTGAAATGCCATTAGCTTGCCTGCTTACCTGCCAGACCGTCGAAAGTTGCAGTTTCCGTGGAGGAAAGAGAGGAGCAGCACGCGATGCACCGCGTGCATGAAAGTTCTCGGAGTAACGACACAATTTCTCGCGGAATTAAACGGCCGCTTTTAAGAAGTTATCTCGCGTGTAACGCGCATTTCGCAACGTGTGCGTTACGCAAGACGCGCCAACCGGGGCAAAATGTATGTGACGGTGCATGTGGTGATTTCGACGAGCGTCATTAACGTTTTCCGAAAGTGGCTGGCGTGTGCGCGTGTCGCGGAATACTTGTCAATTCGCGCGGCGCTTTCGCGAAAAGCTGTTACCGACAATCTTTACATCTCGAGGGCGTATTGTAAAAAGATTTACCTCGAAGAACTGAATTTACAAAGACCTTGCAATATGTACACCGGAGAGAATATTACTTTCCTCTTTCATAGAAATTCTCTTTCCAATCTCACCGTGTTTCTGCACCGAGAGAAAAGATACGTAGAAAATAAAGAATATTTACGGTGAGTATCAATAACACACTTATTTCAATCCAGATTCTTTTTCTTTAATAGAATAAATAATTGCTTTCATGAAAAGCTAAAGTTTCGAGAAAATGTACATTTTCTTCTTTGGAAAGTATTTTGTGTCAATATAAGTAAATATGCTATTGCTTTTCGTCGTGAATAAATACCTTTTTTTTAAATATTTTTTTCTTTCGGTGCCATGATGCAGGTATAGACTGTCAGTAAAGTTTTGCTAAATAATATCCTTTAATAGCACATTTCACTCCTCCTGCGACAAAATAGCACATGTGAAACGAAAGGATAACAAATTACTGCAGAATCTATTCCACGGTTACAAAATTCCGTAATTTTTACTGCAAAATTTTCTCTGTAAAAGACACAGCGTTATAAGACTGATTTATCACATATTTGTGTCTTCACTTCACCATTGAAAATTATTTTGGACAAAATATCTGAGAACATGATCCAGCCCGCGGGTATCCCTGACAGGGTATGCTGCCACGAGCATACGTTGACCGCGAGCATGATTTGGGGGAGTCTCCTCTCGTGGATCGCACTTCTAATCTCCGACATGATATATTATACCGCGCGACGGAAGGAGCATGTACGAAAGCGGAGTCGACGCGCGAGTCGATGTAGTCGGGTAGGTTCGGGCGAGGTCAGCAGTACGCCTCTAATGAGTCTTAATGAACGAGCGTGAGAGCTGGCTGCGCGTCGATGGCTTTTCATTAATGTTAATTGTGCGGCGGATAAGAGCGTTGGAGCGAGGGCCAGTCGGCCTTTTTCCGCGGATGGGAAAAATCATCCCGGCTAAATCGAAATTAACGAGCTCGGGAAAGCAAACCGACTGATTAATCCCCGACACGTTGAACGGTTAAGTTCCTGTGAAAATTGCGCCTTTCCGAGATGTTTCTCCCGAGCAAACCTGACGCTCTCTCTCGGCGAGCAGCCTGCGTCTCAGGGAACCCGGGGGAAAGCCTCGGGAGGCGATTTTATCGTCTCGCATGAAAATACTAAAGCCTAAGATAAGGGAAACGAGCGTAATGAATGAAAACGATTACGCTCGAAACAAAAGATGCACAGTGACGTTTTACCTTATCGGGACGCGCGGAGAATAAGCAGATTAAGGATCCCACGCGTGCATCGCGAACGAAGGGGCAGAGTGTAGGAGGATGAAAAGGATGGCTCTCGCTAATGAGTCGATCGATGCCTCCGTAAAGAAGCTCTACATCGATATAACGCGCGGGCTTAAGAGCCAAATCACGCGATACAGTTCCGGATCGCGCGGTCATTAGCACGCACGCACTTACCCACCCACCTATACGCGTAAATCTTGTATAGCGGATCGATCGGCAATTTCTATGCGAGATCCCGCTAAGCTCTGGATATTGCGCCAATAATTCTCTCGTCTCAAGCGACAACGCCGCAACAATCGATAATAATTTCCGAAATGTCAAACGGTTGCAGCGAGTGAGAAGTGAAATCGCAATTCGCGGCGGAATTTCTTTTTGGTCTTTCTCCTTCTCCCTCTTTTTTCCCTCTCTTCTAGCCGAGAAGTTCGGATTGACGGAAATTCCGCGAATTTTTCATCGGACGATCGAGGGGAATCTCGGGAAATTGGCGAATAATGGATTTGCCGCAGCCGCCGTGTCACACGTCGCGAAGCACGGACTTCGCGACGCCGCTCTGTTGGCGGGATACGAGAAAAGTTTGACAGCTGGCCGCATCGAGAGCGGTCCGGCGGGCTTCTTTCTTCGGCCGAACAAAGAGTTAGATTTTACTCGGGCCGGCCCGAAAAAGAAGGAATAAGAGGACGCCCTACATCATCGGCTACTCGGCGTCCGTACGGACGAGACCCCGCCGCTATATCTTGCCCTTCCACCATCTTGTCTCCTCGACTCCATTTGATCCCCGTGAAATTCTTGATTCTGGGCCTTCGTGTCTGCGAGCAACTTCCGGAAAAATATATTTCGAGCATGGGAGAGGCGTTCGTCCTCGCCGAATACGGACGACATCATCGGGGGCGCAATCATCGGGAACCGTCTATCTGCGGTGAAATTGCGGTCACAGTAAAATGTCCTGCTTGAGATCCGCTTAAAATTTGAAAGCGACACAGACTGGCAAGGCAGACGCGCCTTCTCGGCGGTGCCGGCTGCATGGCCGCGACGTCACCGTCGTAACTTTGTCCAGCTTATTCCGCGCGAATTCCACGCGGAGTTGCCGGTCAAACGAGAATGCAATCCCCAGCCGGGGAGACACAATTTCTGGGCGCGATTAAAAATGTATGCGTTCGCCCGCTGCAGCCGCGCGGCGATGGCGGCGGCGGCGGCTGACGCGGAAAGCGATCCGTCTTTGTACGCGGGCGGTGCGCCACTTATGGTAATATTTCGTGCATCGCGCGGCATGCATAATGCAGTCAGAATTCGAAATTTATGCCGCGGGCGCGCGAGGAAACGGTCGTAATGCAAGACGGAGGCTACGACGACTCGTGTCGCCCGTCCCAGCGGAAGGGAACGTCTGCAGCTATGCGTCATCGATGAGGCATAAACGCAGACACTGGTTCCCGTGAACTTCGACGAGCAGGATGCTCTTTCGATGGTATACGCGTCGCATTCGATAGTTAGGAGAAAGAGAAAAAGAGAGATCCACGTTTATTTCGAGAGTCAAGTGTAATCTCGGTCGTCACTCCTCGATGGAAGTCTTATTTGTGGCATGGACGCAGAATTGAAAGTTCTGTGAGAGCTATCTCGACGCTTCTGGCGAGGGAAAGATCGAGCGCGATCGATCGAGGCAGTCGTCGTGAAACATTCAGAAGATGCAAGACATACGCAGAAATAGAACACGAGTTGCGGAAATAGAAGCATGACGGTGTCAGATATAAATAATTAAAGAGGTTCTTAAACAGTCATTGTTGACGGCGAACAACCGGTTGATGCTCCACCGACACAATCATCGTTTTTCTCGCACGCGTTGTGTAATAATAGACGATCGCGAGTAGCAAGTAATCTTGGAAATCTCTCCGTAATCTCGTTCTCGAAATACATATTTTCGAATAAGACGTGACACGGCGGACGCGGCGGGGCCCAATCAGCCGGACCGAATTAATCCGCTTCAAGAGGAAGCTCGTTAACGCCGCCAACTGTAGCGGCCTCTCTTCTCCTTGCGCTTTTAATTTCCCTCCAAGGGAAAAAGTCGCGGCGGTTAAACTTATGCGTAAGTTCCGACCGTGACGACAAGTCGCGGCAAGAACTTCTCTCCGGAGTACTCTGCATTATATCCGAGTCCCTTTCTTCTCTCCGCGCTGAGATTCGCCCCGACCTAACTCCGACTCACCGACCTAGCTCTCACTTTCTTCCCTCTGTTCCGCGAAATCCCCCACGCGTTCGATCGCGTGAGATTCACCGTCGACGAAATTAGCTTCGCAAAACGCAGAGAACATCCGCCGAAAGCGACCCGCGCGCGTCGGGAACGATTTACGGTACATTTCCGTCTACCACATTCTCGCCATCTATTCTTGGGGGAAATAGTGTGTCCGCTAATTTTATCCAAGACGCGATAATAATTTTCAGAGAGAGAAAGAAACAGATTACACCGAGTTGACTAGGAGGGATTGTCGCGAAGCAAACCGTATCAAGAAGTCGCCTTCATTTAGATTATGTGTATATAGAAAATCTAAAAAAAAAGTCGACGCGTCGTTTTTGTTTACATTTACTACAAATCACGAAAACGAGCGTCAAGTGCAATCTTGCCGGAGTGATTGATGTAATCTCAATTCAAAGAGTCGTCGAATATTCGATACGCGTTAAGATCAGAGACCACACTTTAAAGTACCTCGGATTTTGATCCTATGCCTCGGATGCTCACCTACTCTGATGCTAACGAACAGCACCGTGGAGAATTTTCTTCGCTAGTTGTGATGGGATCAGGTTGGCCGATCCGGATCCCATTTGTCACGGCTGTCGAAACGGCACGCGTAAATTCCCGAGCACGTCGGCGGAACGAAAGTAAAAGAGCGAGCGTGTGACGCGCGTATCGTCTGTAAAGGGTGCAACGCGATACGACGCGACGCGACGTCGAGACTCCGGGCGGGTTCCCCTCGCGGAATCTGGTTCTCGAGCGGAGTGCCGACTTCGCGCGAGCCACGGCGGTCACCTAACCTTAACGCGCTGGCCTGCGCTCTCTCGCCTCACACAGTCACGCTCGCTGCGATCACTCGCGCGTCAGGTGTATCACACCTTACCTTGGTGTATCTGTGCGCAGAGCCTCTGCGACGGCGAACAAAGCGATCACACGGGCTCCCCGAGAGACGGCTCCCGGCGTCTCAACAAAAAAATCCCCTTGGCGATTCTCCCGGCGCTGCTCCGCTCTGCCCTGCTCCACCGATTCTTGTGTATCCTCCTCGCGAAGGCGCACCGGCGAGATCGAGCTGAGCGCGACAGAGAGCAGACACGTCGGACGAGACGATGCTGCTCCGGAGCAACACGACGACGCGCCGGCACGGGTCGGCGCCGCACAAAAGCCTGAGTACGACCGCGCACCACCGACGACGACGACGACGACGACGACGACGACGACGATGACGGCGAAGGAACGACGGCGAGAACCGATAAACACCGCGACAACGACACCGCGACGAACCGCGTAGCCGCTGGGCGCGTACTGTGCCGAACGAAGCGACGATGGCAGTATGGCGCCCGGCGGCTTTCCTGCCCGTCCGCTCGCTCCCCTATCCGTCTCCCTTTCTCCCACCCGGCTAGTTCCCTCTCCCTCTTACTTCCCCCACTACGGCGCCGTACGCTTGCTCTGTTCAGCCGGTATGTTGCCACTCTGCAGGCGCGGGAGGGTGTGTGTGTGTGTGGTTGCGCGCGCGCGCGTGCTCTCTTTCTGTCTCTCTTTCTCTCGCGACAATTACCAGTTGCCGACGCATAGCGCCGTCTCTTTTCATTATTCCCCGTTCTTTCAGCCGTCGCCGTGCGTCCTTCTTTCTCACCGACTGCTTCAAGTTGTTCACCGGTGCTCCCCGATCTTTCTACTCTCTCACACCGGTTGGATCGTCGTTAAAACGCAGCTCTCCGTCCAACGCATGTGCGTTTATCTCGTTCTCTGTTTCTCTTGCAGAGCGTAGGCACCAACCAAGACCCACCACCAATCTCACACAGGATCATAGGTCTCTCTCTCCGTTGCACCCATCGGCCGCTTCGATCCGGCGGTCTCTCTTAGACACACGGGCAACTTTGCGCTCTCTCTCGCTAGGTTTGCCGCCAGTGCTGCGCACTGCATCCTTCTTCGTTCGAGCGTGCGGTCTCATGTTCTCCTGGGAGAGTATCCGTCTCTTTCTCAACGTCGCACGCACGGGTGCTATCGATGACGATGCATCTTTCTCCTCCTCTCTCTCTCTCTCTCTTCCTCCTTCGTTCGTGATTCAGCCGACATACTAACCCTTCGGTCCGTCTTGATATGTATACATATCGCGAGAAAATCCTCCACCGGCTATGTGTGTGCGTGTGTGTATGTGTGTGCATCCCAACGATGGACGATTCTTTCCGTTGGCGCCGTCGATGACGGACCAATCGGCGTCGTTCGCGGTCGGAGCACTGTCCCCTGCGAGGTCGCGCGACCAGACGCGCTCGTTCGTTCGTTCGTTGGTTCGTTCTCCGCGTTACCCCCGGATCGCGCGGCGCCGGGAACGTGGGCGAGATTAATATTAGATCGATTGTCGTTAATAACATCTCCGGCGCTGTGTCACGGCGACGCTATTTATCGCCAGTAGAGTGCAACAACCACTGTCATCGGCTGCGCAATGCGTCGTGGGGTTTTTGTCGGGGAGAGTGTGGCGTGTAAATCCTTTTTCACATTCCTCCCACCTCTTTTTTGTCGGCACTTTACGAGTATGAGCCGACAAATTAATCAATCGACGGATATAAATTTTCATGAATGCGGCCCGACACCTCGCGCCGCAACGCAAAACCATCGCGACCTGTTTGCCCCCGGAGAATGTATCTCTCCGGGTTTAGGCGTCAGTTACCGTAACGACGGAATTAACGATATTCAATTAACGAGCGAGTCGATCGCAGTGGACTAATGCGTGAAACGAATCGCGTGTCGAGGCAACGCGCGATGCTTGCCGGGCCTATTCGCCCAGCACACAAGTGTGATCACTTAACACGCTTGACAAAATAAATGTCGCGACACTATTCCGATCAAACAGACTAATCGTCCAAACGATCATCGATCGGAGTCCGTTATTATCGACATGCGGAACTCTCTAAACGTAATAGCAGTTGCACGATCGTGAGAAAAAAACGAGCATATACTGTGAGGTGTAACGTTTTCTGCATCTGTGAGATAATGTCCCGCGATGGGTACTTTGACGATAACGGCGGTGCGTGAATTATTAATAAAATAAATAAAAAAATATTACAAAGCCAAAACTTTTGGCTTTTATTGGACCTTTAATATCTTTTATTTTTAATCTCAGAGCCTTCTGAATTTATTGTAAAATAAATAAAATTAATGAGAAGGCGACGCGAGAATTGTGTATATATTGAGGATCTGGTCGTTTAATACAAATCAAACGCACGCGGAGAAACTATACCTTCCTTGTGCAAACTATCCTTTATTCCCACTTGTTAACGACGTTAAATTTCCTCTTGCCCATTCCAATTCTAATTAGATGTCAATTGACTTGTAAATTAATTTCATTATATGTTGCAAAAAATACTGCCTCAGACAGAAGGTAAATTCAGCGCTTACATTCGACTTGTGCGAAATAACTGTAATAATTGGCGGTCGACTTTTTCTACTCTTTGTCATGTTGCGAGCCACCGTGTAATTTCCTCGAAAGCACATTGCGGCTGTTGAGTATTAACGCGCCGAAGCTATTTATCGTCGTTACGGGGGGTAACACTCGCTATCATACTACGGAAACGTCCACCTCTTGACGGCGACGTTTTTATTTCTTCGTCGACAAAACGAATGTCGCGTCTACCGTGGACGAGCGCGACGTGGCGCCCTGTGAAAAAGTTCGCTCGTGAGACCCGACACGAAGAGATTAAAATTATCGATCCTAAATATACAAACATGTGTTTCACACGAATTTCTAGCTCACATCTAGCCTGCAATTTCCAGTAACATTTCCCCGCGCCGTTAAGCTCTTCGTAATCGACAAGTTGCTGCATCGCCATTATAAATTTGATCTGACGGCACAGCACTTTTGGCCAAATATAACGCGGCCATGAATAAACTTCGGGGAGAGTTCTTAATCAGTTTATGAACTTTTCTAATAAGATCTTCAAAGTGGCTGGCCCGTTTTATTGTCCATCGAGCTTAACAGCTTTCGCGCGGCACGAGTCTCGGCACCGGAAATTATTACTATAAATTTTCAACAGCTGACCTCTCGCCGACAAAACGCGAGTTTCAGCGATGGGAAGGACGCAGGACGGGAAGAAGAAAAAAGGACCGATGCACCGTCGAAGCGATGCGGAAAACGACATTAACGTTTAAATTGGACGTCGCGCGCTTTCGCGCATTTTATATTTTCCGATATATCGCCGGTCTAAGAGATAAATGGGACCACTATTCTCGAAAAAGTGCTGGTAAATTTGGCCCTGGAAAACCGCCAATTTGACAAAGCACAAATGCCGTGACTTTGGTCAAATTTTCTCGTGGTTGACGGCCGAAGCCGCTTTCGAAACAAATAAGCTCGACGGTTTCGCCACGTCAAGTAGGGAAGGCTGAGTCTAGTTGTCACACTCTTTACATACCGATTAAAAAAGATATATACGATATTTTTTAATATCGTATACATTTTTATATAAGTACAACCTTTAAGGATGTATCTGAGATACAATCGGTGACAAAAGTGCTTGAAAAACGAAAAATTGGAATATCTGCTTCAAACGTGTTGTAAACCTAGTGATAAGTGATATAAATAGTAGCTAACATAATATATTTCTTATTTAAAAAGTTATTTTTTACTTTCTCAACAGTTTATTACTTTTATTTGCTTTTTTTTTCAACTTTCTATAATAAAACTTTTGGCAGGGAAAATGCCCTGAATTCAACTTTAGAACATTAAATTTCGTTAAATTTATTTAACATCAATATCCATCAGTGCAACAGAGAAAAAATAATTGGGATAAGTTAAAACAGGTATGCATGGTTTTAACAATAACTATCGATATTATTTGTTGTTATTATAAATATTTAATGAAAAAAGTTAAACCTAGCAACAGCGTACCATGTAGTTTGTGGCTTGTACGTTGGCAGTAATGCACTATGCAGGCAGGTTAGATTAAACAATAAAAGCCTCAAATTTCACACTTATCCTATTGTTCATCGAAATTATTTAATTTGTATTCTTGTTCTCTGTATGAAACAATGCAGACAAACAAGAATTTACAACGTAACTTTATTATACTGATTTATAGATTATTCATTTGACATACCAGCTGATTGCAATGTTGCCGCATTTCCACAGTCCAGTTACTAACTCCTTATGACAATCGCAAAATTGTCACAAATAAAAATTAATTTCTCTGAAACCGTGTTGTGAAAACTAATCAAATTCTGCAAATAGTTCCAATAATTCAGGATCTATGTGTATGAAAATACTTAAATTTTTACTACTATTTTTTCTATACGTTTTTACTCATTATATTCAGAAAAGTTGCTTTTGCCATAAGAACACGTGTAAAATTAACATAATAATTACTCTTCAACGATTTAGTGAATCGACTTGAAATTTTTTTCAATATATTATAAATAATTAAGGAAAAATTACTCAAAGTTTTATCGAATTGGTACTATTTTTACATAGCTCAGATACATCCTTAAGTGAAAGAAGAAATATCCTTATAGATATTTATTATACAAAAAAGTTATCAAGTCATAAATAAAGTTGTGAAAATGCATCTATCAAATGTATTTTAAGGTTTGAAGTATCTTATTAAAGTTAGTGATTAATTTTTACGATCAGCTATAATGAACGATTATCCAACAGAGAAGATAATAATTGTCATCAAATTTATAATAATAACTTTGAGTTACAAGATCTTACACAGACTCGCTGTTGTGACATGCATGATATAATGCATCATGACGCATGTTTCTTGCGTAAGTCACGTCATAGCTGACGGACTCGCAATGTGTGATAACTAATCCTACTTAATTTGAGTCTACTCGAACTAAACACTTGGCACAAGAGAAGTAACTAGAAAAATTCTAATTTTAATTCGTATTTTAACCGGTAAAATTGGTTTGTTGACAAAAATATTACACTATAAAGTGATCGAGTTCAGATGCTAACTGATTTATTCGATTAACCGGTCAATCGATTTTAACCGGTGCATTCGGTTTTAACTGGTTAAACGGTTAACCGGTTTTCAATTGATTAATCGGTTACAATCACGAGCTCTACAACTGACCTGTGTGACTACTAGACCCGGTCTCCCCTACTCACCATTCAGCCATTTTCGATATTCGACGTCATAGAACGCAAACGGCCGTCACTCCCGAAATTCGTACTTTTGGCACGAGACGATCGCGGAGTGAAGGATGGACATCGTTGCGAAACGCGCAGCATTCGCGAAAAGTTGAGTCATTCGCGATCACGCTCTGTGAGCAGAGGCGCGATTAGTTTAACGCATTTTAAATGGCGAGAAGCATTAAGTGAAAATATAGTTAGCGCGACGGTGC